CCCCCCGCTCCCACGGCGCTCGCGCTCTTCCCGCGCAGCCCGGCCCCGCGCGGCTCCGCTCCGCACCCCCCGGCCTCCGCCTCCGGGGAAAACCCCGTTAGTTACTCCAGCCTCGAGCCCTCCGCTTACCACGCTAACCTGTTGAAATGCCGTCATTCTGACTCCCCGCTAACCCTGAGACTTTCAAAGTTTATCCAAATAAATACTTCTAATAAATGTGGCTTTGCAAAATTTTATTGGTGGCTTTACCTCTCACTGCGGAACCCTAAAACTTCCGTGTAGGTTGTGTTTCATTGGTCCTGAAACTACCGCAGAAGTCCTGGGTACCAACACACGTGGCTGGAGAGGCCGCGGGGCGCACTGCAACGGGGGAAACGCGGGACAGCTGCCTTCAATTACTGCAAGGCCGCTGCAAGAAGTAATTAACTACTTCAACCGCTACAAAAAGTAATTAACGAAATTAAGTATTATACAAATTCAAAACAGAATTGAATCTTCAATATTAAAGTTTGTTTCCTCTGCAATGAACACTTTTTTGACTTTTTTTTTAAGAGTACGATATTTTTTTGAACAAGCCATGATCAAAGTTGATGGCTTTGAACCTTTATCGTTGACAAAGGTGTTATTTTGTTAAGAAAACATTTCAGTGAAACCAATTCTATTATCCCTTTCCTCTACCACTTCCTTATCTGTGTCCCTGTTCGCTCTTTTAGCCATCCATCATCCACACTTCCATCTAATTAATGAATAACAACTACAGACAGTAATTTGAAGAAAAACAATAAAAACTTAATACTGCTGATATTCTCCAGGAACCTGGTAAACAATCCTCCAGCTTTATAAGAAGCTCTTTAGGTGGAGCATATCCCTTTTGGTATTACCTTGGCAAGTTAAAGGATAAAAAACATCAGCATCAAGGCTGATTCAGACTTTTAAAAAGGGGGGGGAAAAAACCCCAATGCCACTTCTCAATCTTGGTTTCAGTGCTGCCTTTTTTATAATCTGCTGACCCAATAGATTCGGCTGTTGCAGCCATGGGTCAATCTATTGGTTTGGTTTAATTGGGAAGGTACCACACCCACCTGACAGGTTTCTATCATTACAGTACATGTTTTTCCAGATTAAAAGTCTACTATGTACTTAGGTAATTGCCTTAAATGTCCATGAAAGTCACTAGAACTTCTTTTCTCGACAGTCAGATATTGAGGTGTCAAAAATGCTTGGTACATTTTCAAAAGTATCTAAATCAAGACTAGTTGCCTAACAACCACTACAGGCACTGGAAGAAGGCACCTAGGGTGCTTAGCAGGAGTTAGTGCCTAGCCTGCTTAGGCACTTAGTACCTTTACAAATCTAAACTTAGTTATCTAAATAATTTTTTTAATTGAGGCTTATGGAGTTAAGCACTGAGGTACTACTGCAAAATTCATAACTAAGAAGGCCTGGATCTAACATGAGCAGAAAGCATCCCATAGAAAAGGACTGCTTCTCTTGCAAATGTTTTCATGAAATACCTGGATTCTGGCCTTGCTAATGCCTATTTTCTACACCCTGGTCCTTATAATGGACCATAGCAGTACTGGGAGCTACCAAATACTCCTCAAAACAAGACTTCATAAGCCCCCCTATAAAACCATGAAGGAGAGAGAAAAACTTTTTCACAGTCGGTCCAAAACTGTAAGCATATAGTTTTGCATATTTCAAAAGCTAACTGGCCCTTTATTATTAGGTTAAATTATCTACTATATTTTTAAAATCAAAACGATAGTTCAAAAAGAAATGCAACTCCTTTTAGAACATTTTGAGAAAGTATCCAAGAACACTGGTACTGTTTAGTCACCAAAGTGCTAATTACTGAAGCCATCAATTCTCTAAGCAGCTGTTTCCCCTTCTTCTAGAAACCTGCATCTAATTACTCCACTAAGATTGCTTCACTTTTAATGTCACTTGGGTATTAGTTACTCATTCCTGAACGAAATGGCCAGCATTGTATGGATGCTTTAGAATGGGTACCAGCTGCCATAATAAGTGATGGCATTTTGAATGGAAACAACCATTGTTCAGAGAAAAAAGAAATATGGGTGTCCTCATCTGTCATACACTCTGTGCTATACCATACTCAGTGTACTTCTTTTATACATTAAAGAATGGTAGAGCAGGGAACAAATACATTTCATATTATCATACATTTATTGCAGATTTGCAGCTAAACTACTACCACTCCCCCCTCGATAACATTTATTGCTTGTCAAGGATTTATTCTCCATAAGGGAAAGA